GCATGGCTAACTCACAGATTGAACCCTAAAACAACTTCTTGGCTGATCAAAATCAGGGCATGGCTAACTCATAGATAGAACCCTGAAACAACCTCTGTGCTGATCTAAGTCAGGGCATGGCTAMCTCACAGATAGAACTCTGAAACAACCTCTGTGCTGATCTAAGCCAGGGCATGGCTAACTCACAGATCTAACCCTGAAACAACCTCTGGACTGATCTAAGTCAGGGCAAGGCTAACTCACAGATTGAACCCTAAAACAACCTCTTGTCTGATCAAAATCAGGGCATGGCTAACTCATAGATAGAAACCTGAAACAACCTCTGGGCTGATCTAAGTCAGGGCATGGCTAACTCACAGATACTGTAGACCCTAAAACAACCTCTTGCCTGATCAAAATCAGGGCATGGCTAACTCATAGATAGAAACCTGAAACAACCTCTGTGCTGATCTAAGTTAGGGCACGGCTACCTACTTGTGAGCAAACTGTAGGCAGTCTTTGACCAGTTTATCTGAATAGATGCACCCAAAGGGATTGTTTGGATTGCAAAGCAATAATGCACGAATGGCGATACCCTGTTGAATTTAAAATAATCATGTAAGCCTTCAAAACATTCTACAGCAGAACCTCTAGATCTATTAAGCRAACAAATTTGGGACTTTGTCTGGGGCCTGCTTAATAGAGGGTGTCCGCTGAATAGAGGTTTGTTTTATAGTAAATACAGTGGTATGTTATAAAGTTGGGATAGTATGTGTGTGCTGATTGGTCGAAAACTGTGTTTTGTTAGTGAATGGAGCATAGTGCTGACGCCATCTACGTGCGCAAAGTGTTGCTAGATCCTGGGACCGTCTTTAATTTTGCCTAAATAGACTCAATACTGAAAATATAAATTAAAACAAATAAAACAGATTTTTCTGTGCTTCCTTCAGTAATAAAGCACTTAGGAAGCAACATAAGCACTCAAGAAGTGTGAGAAGCACTCACCTATGGCTTGTGCTTCTCCTTACACTTTTTTCGTGCTTACACCACTTCCTGTTTGCTTTATTGCTGAACCGAGCATGGAAAAAGCTGTTTTATTTATTAAATATTATAATTTTATTCTGTGTTACCTTCTTTTTGGCATCATTGAAAGCCTTTTCAATTCTCTCCACTGTCAACTCAAATGGGACTGTTTCCCCTGGTGCCGGCTGTTAAAATATGAAGACTGAAGATGAGGGCACTGTGTATATTACAGGACAAAACACTGCCTTGGTTAAAGGCAGGTTAAATTCAAAAAGTAAGGAAGGTTGTTGTAGAGGGAAAACAAAGACAGTATGGATGGATTGTAATGTCATGGTGATGATGATAATGGTGATGGTGATGATGATGATGATGATGGTGATGATTATAATGGTGATGATTATAATGGTGATGATGATGATGATGATGGTGATGATGATGGTAATGCATGGTGATGATGATGAGGATGGTGGTGATGGTGATGGTGATGATGACGATGGTAATGGTGATATGGTGATGATTATAATAGTGATGGTGAAGGTGATGATGATGATGGTGGTGATGGTGTTGATGGTGATAGTGGTGATGATGATGATGGTAATGGTGATGATGATGATGATGGTGGTAATGGTGATGGTGATGATGATGATGATGGTAATAATGATGATGATGATGGTGGTGATGATGTTGATGGTGATAATAATGGTGGTAATGGTTATGATGATGGTGGTGGTAGTGATGATAATGATAATGAAGGTAATAATAATGACTTTATTTATCTTGACTATATCACGGTAACCAAAGTGACTATGTTACATGTATGTTGAACAATTAAATCTCTCAAAAAATTGCCTTGGTTGTAAAAATAACCCATTTTTTCTCCACGGAATCTACAAAGCTTTTCGCTGTTGTATCACAGCATGGGACAATCACAACAGAGCTAGGCTCCAAACTAGGTGAAGGCCCAAAGATCAAATTAGAATTTAGGAGATGATTTTTGAGGAGGGAGGAAAACTGCAGAACCCAGAGAATAACCCTTYGAAGCACTGGAGAGAACCAACTAACAACTCTACTCATATACGACATCGAGATCGGCAGGACTCGAACTCGGGCCGCATTGGTGAGAGGTGGCGCAGTAGCAGCGCATGCCACCGGTGCTTCCCATCAATAAAATAAAGACTAAAATAAACCTCTTTATCTTGGGCGTTTCTTTTATCATTTCAAACCATGCGTCATTCCTTTGAGAATATAATTCTTTGATTCTTTTGCATCCCAACAAAGAAATGATTCTCAAGGGTTATACTTGTGGTCTGAAATGGGCAAAACATTACGCCCAGACTAATTTCAATTTCATAACCGCCTAACAAAAATTTTATTGACAACCCTGAACTTGAACTCTCATATGTACCTCAGAAGACAGTGTCACAGGATAAGCAATGACATTAAATCTCATTTGTAAGTCAGACTTGAATCCTCCATAAAATGGTGCAGGAATGAGAAAGCCATCTGAAGAGGGAAAAATATCGTATTAGTCAGTCATCATCATCATCATGTATCATCATCATGTAT